ACACACATCCCCACACACACACACACTCTCTCTCTCTCAGATACACATACACACTCATGCTTATACATACTCCCACACACACACACACACACACACACTCTCTCTCTCTCAGACACACATACACACTCCCAGACACACACAGCCAGGCACACATACACACTCCCAGACACACACACACACACACTCTCAGACACACATACACACTCCCAGACACACACACACACCCAGGCACACATTCACAAATATACACTCACACAGGGACCTATTCACATAGTCACACAGACATTCCAACATGTACAAGGAACATTCACAGACATACATTTACACATGTGCCCACAGGCACACACACAGACACACATTCGCTTAGATACACACAAGACATTCACATACATTCACACACAGACACCTTCTCACACACAGACACAGACAGACACACACACTAACAGACACACTCACACACACATACTCACACCTAGACACACAGGCACACGCGCAGAGGAAGGAGTGGGAATGCTGACAGGAGGGAGCGGACGAGGGGGCCCCTTGAAGAGATGGAGCGCTCACTGTCCAAGCAGTGGACCAAGATAGAGTCTGTGGAAATCACACTTCGGGGTTCGAATGTCAAAGCAGAAACTGAAGTCCCACCCAGGAACCAGGCATCGAGGGAAGGTGTCCCTGAAGTGGGGCTGCCCAGAGGGAGGGCGAGCACCACGCAGGGGCAGCTGGAGACCCACAGCAGGTGATGGTGGGGGCTGCCCAGGGATCAAGCAGTGGCCTTCAACTCTCCCATGGGGACAGCAAGGGCTGGGTCCATGTGGCACGGAACTGGGGTGGCTGAGGGGTGCCTGCAGGGCTCACGGCCGGGCTGCACTTGGCCAGCCAGGGAAGAAGCAGGGGCAGCCTCCCGAAGGGGGACGTGGAGCCACTCGCACAGAGGCCGGCTCCCAGCCAGCCGTGACACCGGTGGCTTGCCTGCTGTCAGCTCCCTCGCCCGCATGGGAGGTGGGGACAGCGGTGCCAGCTTGGTAGGGCTGCTGGGAAGGCGCGGTCTAGACACGTACTGGCGCTTGGCATGTACTGCGGGGTCAGTGGGTGCTAGTCACAATGACAACACCGAGGCTGAAGAGGAGGAGGAAGCGGCCTTGGTGTCACTGACCTGGGGGACGATCGGTGACAAGTATGTGTACAAACATGTAGATGCGGAAGCAGGACAATTATCAACCCAGAGAAGACAAAAATGGCCCCCTGCCAGCAGGGTGGGCCCTGAGTTTGGCCGTGAGCACTGTTTGCCTGGTTACAGTATAAACCTGGCCAGGTGCGAGTCAAGCCCTCGACAGGCCTGGTCCAAAGTTGAGAGGTACTGCGACCATGGGAACCGCCGACCTAGCCGCAGAGCGGGCACGAACTAGGAACAGGGTGTCAGCAGCAGAAGAAACAGCTAGAAGGGTCGCCAGAGTTGCCCTGGGAGTCCGAGTGGGTGGGAGGGTCAGGCAGGGAAGAGCGTTTTTCTTTGTAAGACTCCTGGTTCAATTCGACCTTCCTAAGACAGGGGATCGGGCCTGTTCCCAAGCCGTGGCAGCCTCCATCGCCTCACCTGCCTGTGAACCTTGGGCACCGGATAGGGACGTCTGAAGAAGAATCGGTGCCTTGAATTGTGGTGCTAGAGAAGACCACAGCAAGTACCACGGGCTGCTACAAGGACAAGCCCATCTGTCTTGGAAGAAGTAAGGCCAGATGCTCCTTAGAGGCAGGGATGGCCAGACTTCGCCTTCCATCCTTCCGACATATTGTCAGGAGAGGGCAGTCCCCGGAGAAGGACCTCATCCTGGTCAAACAGGGGCAGCGAGAAAGAGGAAGGCCCTTAGCGAGATGGATGGAGCCGGTGGCTGCAGCAGTGCAGCAATGAGTTCAAGCAGAGGCGCGATGGTGAGGACGGCGCAGGACGGCGCAGTGTGTCCTCCTGCTGTGCGCGGACCGGGTCGCTATGGGCCAATGGCACCTGGCATCGCCAACATCAACACCGAGGGCCAGCACCACAATGTGGGAGGGTGTGGTGCTGACAAAGAACACGGGACAGCATCACGGACTGCCCAGAGAGCCAACACACACAACCAGAATCTCCTGAGAGGCAAGGATGGCGGGCTTCCTCTGACATACGCCAGGCAGGTTCTCAGGAGAGACTCGTCCCTGGAGCAGGACACCGTGCTTGGCAAAGCCGAGGGACAGCGCAGAAAGAAGACCCTTCACAGGACGGACTGACATAGCGGCTGCAACAATGGGCCCAGACACGACCCTTGTGCGGTGGGGCGGTGCCCCCCACCCCCACCCCCACCCCGCAGCAGGACTGGGTGGGGCTTCCTTCTGTGGGGCTCGGGGTCGCTAGGAGGCTGAATCGACTCGTTGACACCCAACAGCACCTGGGTCCGAGTCCTAGCCAGTGTGCCTCACATGTCGCTCCCGCGTCTGCTAGAGCCCCGCTGGGTTCCAGACAAAGACAAACTGGGCAGAAAGGGCTCGTGATCCCCTTCTGAAAGCAGGTAGGTGAGAACCCGAGGGATCCCAATGGACTGGTAGTCTATCCTGGCACTGGTACCAAACCAGGCACTGCTTCATCCCTTTGCCCACAGGGGCCACCAGGGGTTAGTTGGTGGCTGCCCAAAGGCACTGACACACCTCCCTATGTGTAGGACCCTCAAGAAAGAAGGTACTGAACAAGCCAGGTGCATGATTTCTCCTTGCTCAAACGAATGCAGGTGAGGAGACCCAGACGCAGCGGGCTGTGGACTGCTGGTTGAGTGGGCCAGGGCTGGAGGGTTGCACCTGGGAGGGATCAGAGGATGCCCCCACCTCCACCCTCCGGCAAACTTGAGCCAGTGACGACAACCCTTTCAGACAGTGCTCTGAAGACCGAGCAGCGCTGTGTACCCAGAGGGTGTTCACGGAGGCTGGTTTTACAGTAGGGAGCCCAGTGGGACATGGGGTGGGGGTGCAGGGGGCTGCAGTCCAAGAGTGGGAGCCTTACTAAACGACTTAAACATCAGCAGGGCTGTGTTCCCGAGAGCACTGCCGGGAGGCGGAGGCCGCGGGTCTGGGCGGAGAATGGCGTTTAGGACAAAGGCTGTACCTGGTCAGGTAAACCAGTGGGCGGGCCGCGGCACCCCGGAAGGACGAGCCGAAGCTATCTGGGAACCTGGAGAGCGGGTCCCGGAGGTGAAAACCAAGGTTAGCGAGCTGCTCCAATCTCCCGAAAGACCGTCCCCGGGCGCATGTGGGTGTGACGGCGACAGGGCGCCAACAAGGTGCTGACATTGTCCAGAGTGGTGGCCGCCTCCTGGCTGGGACGGGCGGTCCGGGGACCCGTGAGCACTCCAGGGGGCTGCTTCTCTGGGACCGGCTCTTAGGAGCCGTGTCTGGTTCCGGCACGGGGTCCCGTCCTCTCGAGGGTCCAGATGGCAGGCCCTCACCAGGCCCCTGAGCCTCCTGCAGGGGACCGACCCCCACCCCCCGGAGGCTACGGACTGGCTGGGGAGGTGGGCGCCCCTGCCCACTGAGTCTCGGGGATCTGACCACCGTGGGGTCCCTCCTCAGAGAGCCTTGGCCCCGCTGGCCCGCCCCCCAGCCTCGGTGTCCCCACCACACTCCCATGGTCCTTTGCTCCTGGGCCGAGTCCCCCAGGTGAGGGCCTACTGGGTCCCCGGTAGCCAGAAGAGGGACAGAAGGACAGGGCCAAGTCCACTGGCATGAGCAGGACCCCAGTGGCTGGGCCCACAGTCCTCTTACCTGCCGGACAAGATGGTGCAGACCCTCTCCCTGGAAACAACAGTGGTGGCCCGGCAACCTGTCTCCAGGCAACGGTCACCGAGCACCAGCCCGCAGAGGCGCCCGGAGGAGCTCTTACTAAGTGGGGTCTCTAGGTCCATGGGGGAGGGCCTGCCACTAAGCTGGGGGCCGCCTGGGCAGGGAGGCGGGAGTCTGGGCAGCAGGAGGCTGGGGGAGCTTTCGCCCGCCCCCC